TACGTACAATGGGTTCACATGTGTGGGATGTGCATGCATGTGGAGGTCAGAGAATGAACTCCTGTGTTGTCTGATGTTTTGATTGTCTTCTGATAAATAAAGCTTGCTTGCAGTAAGAGGGCATAGCTAGCCACAATAGACTCACTCATAAGTAGATTCTAACCATAATTAAAGGTCTTTGAGCCTATAATTCGTGATCCTAGAGAAGTTAAATAAGAACGTGAACCTAAAGAAAATCATATAGTTATCCTCCTGGATATTGGAAGTAGACAAGATTGCCAGGCAAAACTTGGGTGCACGGAGGGGGAGGGGAGGAGGGTTGATGTAAGGGGAGATGAGTAGAGCGAAGGGAGAAGGGGAGGATTCGGGAAAGCTTTTGAGAATGGGTGTGGTGGGATGGAGGAAGGGTGGATATGGGAGCAAGGAAGTAAATATCTTAATTAAGGGAGCCATTTTAAGGTTTGCAAGAGATTTGATTCTAAAGGGATTCCCAGGACCAAGGAGAGGTCCCCAGATTGTTACTTGGGCAGCAGAGGAGAGGGTGCCTGAACTGGCCTTGTCCCATAGCCACACTGATCAATATCTTGCATATCACCATAGAATCTTCATCTGGCGATGGATGGAGATAGAGACAGAGACCCACATTGGAGCACTGGACTTAGCTCCCATGATCCAAATGAGGAGCAGAAGGAGGAAGAACATGAGCAAGGAAGTCAGGACCACGAGGGGTGCGTTCACCCACAGAGACTGTGGGACTGATTTAATGGGAGCGCACCAAGGCTAGCTGGATTGGGAGTTATGGAGCATGTGATCAAACTGGACACTCTGAATGTGGCTGGCAATGAAGGCTGACTGAAAGACCAGGGACAATGACACTGGGTTTTGATTCTAGTACATGGACTGACTTTGTGGGAGCCTGGTTTGTTTGGATGCTCACCTTTATAGACCTGGATGGAGGGGGGAAGACCTTGGGGCAGGGAAACCTGACTGCTCTTAGGACTAGATAGGGAGGGAGAGGTGGGGAGGGGAAGGGAAAAGGGAGGCAGGGAGGAGGTGAAAATTTTTTATAAATAAATAAATTAATTAAAAAATAAAAAAAGAAGTTTGGAGGACTCTAAACAGTGAGGAGGCAGGAAGTAGTAAGGCATGACTGAGAGAAGATCTTGGTCCTTTTGGACAGAGGACTGGTAGATGTAGGAAGTGATTAGTGGCTGCTTCTCTGATCTTTCAGCTACTTCCCTGATAATGTGACACCTGTTTTGTTATTTATAAAAATTAATTAGATTATTACTTCATCTGGTGTCCCTTTTTGGGGACATGAATTCACAAGACATCTGCTTGTTCACAGCATTGCAGCCACCCACACACATTGGAGCTGCACACACCACTGGCTGGTATCTACTTTTCTCCGCCATGTCCTCTGAGAGATTCTGGAATTTTCTTGTTGCAACCGCTCTACAGCAATCTCCAGAAGTACTAAACTCCACATGTAACTGGACTCCAAACTTCACCCGAGCTAGCCACTCACCCCTAGCCAGCTCTGCCTTCAGGCTGCTCTGTGCTCCCTTCAGTGCATCAAAGGTCCTGCTTTCCCATGTTCCCCTCTGTCTCTTTTCCCGATGGCTGGATTTTTGGCTTCTTTTCCCCATGGGTTTTTGACAATCCCTGGACCTCCTCCTCAGGCTGCTGAAGCACGATCAGAGTTACCTCTCCTCAGCCAGGCTGGTCAGCATCTGTGTTCTCTGCTCAAATATGCTGTATGGTGACAGCCAGCCTTGCTCTTCACTGTCATCAACAGCCAATTTCGTGAAGTAACTTGGAATTGCTAAAAGGAGGAGTTAGTTACAAACACAAAAAAGAGAGAATTTTAACTTTGTAAAACTCTTCATAAGGTAGAAATATTATCTCAAAATTTAAATGTTAGTAAATATAAAACCTTTGTCACAATATTAATGATCGTATAGAATACTAACTAATTCTATACAAAGGTTTCATCTAGCTTCCTGCTCATAATATTGAGTTTGGGTTTTTATCTAGTAACTAGAAATTAAATTTTTGTACTCTGGCTGTGTAACATTATTTCTAATTGCTCTTAATAATAAAAAATTAGTGTCAGCTATGGGGGTGAAACCTGAAGGATCAGAGAAATAGAACCGTCAGTCACTAGAATAGTTCTTACCTATACCAATGCTCAGAACAACGGCGTGATCCTGTCCTCATCTTGCCTCCTCAGTCTATGTCCTTAGACTGACTGATTCCTCAGAAGGTTGCCTCAGACTAACTGCAATGAGCTCCTGTCACCTCCCTCTTTATATTCCTCCTCAATAGCCCCAGCCATATCCCTTCCTCTCTCTTTGTTCATACTGCTGGGATTCAACAAAAGGGGGGATGTTTCATGATATTTTGATTGTAATCTGACAAATAAAACTTGCTTGGATTAAGACAGCAGAGCTAGCCACTAGCTGATCAAAATCAATCATAGAGGTTTTGAGACTGTAGACAGTGTAGACAGAGAGGACATGGAAAGTAGTAAGGTGGTGCTGAGAGAGGATCCCAGGCATTAAGATGGAGGAATGGTAGAGGTAGGAAGAGACTGGTCACTCTAGCCTGCTTCTCTGATCTTTCAGGTTCTGACTCTGATATCTGACAGCCAATTTTTTATTGATAAAGATAAAAAACTGGATTCGTTCTTCATTTTGTTGTTCCTCATTAGTTGCTGACCTTGCTTTTCTTGAGTCTCTCACCAGCACAATGAGTTTGTAAAATAGGTCATGATGCCCAAGGTAGCCATCTATCTCTGACTTTCTTGTTCCTGTGAATATAAAGTATATGCCATTATGATGCCAAATTTCCTGGAGGTGCTAATAATTGAAGTACTCATGCTTATACAATAAGTCAATTTCCCAGCCCATCTCTTAAGGGATGGAATAGTTTTTCTTTATTTTTCACAAGGCATCCATGATTTATTTATTTGACAATGCACATTTAATTTAAACATACAATTATTGATTCTCAGTTAGAATTATTGCTTCATAATAGATTAAACTATTCTTCTCATCTCTTTTGTACCATGGCATGTTTACTCCAAACTATCATGCTTTCTTTGCTGGATTATTGTTTACTTATATAGTATGAGCATTGGTAATAGAAATCTAATACATCTACATGGTTCTACACAGATCTTTAATTCTTATATTTCAATTTGTAACAAGTAGCCCAGTTCTAAACCCATAATTATCTATATTACAATGGTCTATTAAGCATGTTCCCAGATACTTGCTATCTTAGTCGGTATTCTATTGCAATGAAGAGACACCATGACCATGACAACTCCTATAAAAAGAAAGCAATTTATCGGCACTTGCTTACAGTTTCAGAAGGTTAGTCCACTGTCATTGTGACAGGCAGACATGGTGCTGGTGTTGTAGCTGAGAGGTCAACATCTGAATCTACAGGTACTAGGAGTAGAGAAACACTACCTAGTGTGGGCATTTGAAACCTCAAACAGCTCCCCAGTGACACACTTCCTCCAACAAGGCCATACCTCCCAATCCTTCTCAAGTAGTACCATTCACTGTTGATTAAGCATCCAAACATATGAGCCTATGGGAGGATTCCTATTCGATTCATCATACCTCCCATGCCAAAATTAACACTTCACTACATTTGTCTTCTTATGAAGTTTAAAAACTTGGAATATATATGGTGCTATTAGTTGTGTCTAAATATTTTTTTTGTACAAAATAATGTTTGTGGGATTTGCAAGAGTCCTCTGTGCAGTAAAAATTCCCATATTCTCATTTCCATCGTTATGTTTATTGCAAGTTTAGAGTTTCTCACAATTAATTGGGTTGGAAATTTTAAACAACTGATGAACTATATGTGATTGTTTGAGTCAAGCAAAATGTTATCAGTAGTGTGGAGCTTATACAATGTGTAAATGTGTAAATTTGAGTAAATGTGTACTGTTAATATGAGCACAGCCCTGTGTAGAGAGTCAACATCTCAGACCCACAGTAATATATGGACTTTCCCTAGTCTGGTTAAGGGTATGGAAAGTGTGTGAAAAAAAGTATTCATTGTAGTTTCCTTATACTGCAGACTGAGATTGATCCTGGTAAATCCCTCTTCAGAGATGAGCCAACCTGCCTCCTATATATGATAAATTTGCTCATTTGTGTGTATGCGTGTATGTGTCGAATTCAAGGAATTAATAATAATCTCAAAATTTCCAAAACAAAAATGTGTTACTTTAAAGAAAAGAAGTCAAAGTGATTCATGTGTGAGTAGTTTCACCTGGAGTGAGAGCAGACTAGAAGTTTTCACATCTTTCCCATGCCTTCTGTTGTTTGTTGCTTATGTTTTCCGGATTTTCTGTAGCTTGTCTGTGATGAGTCCAATGTGTCCCTGTGCCTGCCTAATAAGCAAATATCTGAATGTCTGATCCTAAGAAAACTTTTGCTTTGTATATATTGAACATCATAAGAAGCTTCACATGGAGGAAGAATGAGAGGCACTTTCTAGAAATCTTAAGGGTCCTTTTCAACTTTATAAGGGATAAAAATTTACTGAATCCCACTGACTACATATGATTCATATACCAGTAATGCAAATGACTTGTGAACTTATGTGACGAGTATTTATTATATAAGGTTGTTTTCCAAACTATTTTTGCTTTCAATAAGTGGCTACGATATCATTGTAACTAACCCTGGATAATGCTTACCAAGTAGATGCCCTTGATCTTAGCTCCATCATTCTTCTAAATAAGCCGTAATGGTGAACTGGTATTTTAAAATGACGTTTGATCTCTTTACATGCCCATGAACTAGTGAGATATTTCCTGATTTGAGTTCTTTCTCCTCTCCCTTTTGCTATAGGAGACCATTTGTGTGAGTAGTGCCCTACTGTACACAGTTGCTTGTTTTTGGTTTTGTATTTTTTAAATTTGATTTTTTTTCACATGAACCAGTCGGTCACCTTTTATTGGACACTAGTTCTTAGGACATGAAGATCCAGCCAGAGTTGAGTTCTTCATGGATGGGCGTAGGTGAGGTGCCTATGCTCAGGTGTGCGGTCCCCTCGTTGTGGTACTTGCATTGCCACTCATGTTTGAATTCCTTGTAAGAAATGCAGGAGCTGAAAACCACATAGGCTGCCAGCACCATGTTAATCCCCGAGATGCTGCCTTTCCGCACATTGATGTACTTGTAATATCGGTCGTAACCTCTCTGAAAGGCTCCCACAATGCCACTGGGGGTGAAATTCCGCATCAATATCCAGCTCGGTAGTTCTCCTTGTTTAACCTCCATAAGCTTCTTCTCTTTCATTGGCACGAGTGACGCCATCTTGCAGACCCGGTGTCCACAAAGCCTTAAATTTGATTTTTATTGTCCTTCACATTTCTCTTTATTTTTATTTGAGGAAATGGTTTTAAAATGCCTAGAATATTTCTTGCTTAAATTTCAAATTAACTTGTAATAATCTTTACAAATTCACATTTCTATAAATTTATTTTTGCAAAATTATTTGCAACTTGTAAGTTGAAACTACTTTTTGAAAAGGATAAGTAGTGTAGTAACCTACTATATATCTTCAGAATTTAAATAGAGTTTAACTTTTTATATTATAAATCCAAATGCAATACTGGGATCTACCTCTGGCCTATATTAACAATATAATGAATATAGTTTAGGCAAGTATTAAAATTTCAAAATTTTGAAATATTTGAAAATACTTTCAACATTCTAAGTCATAGGATGAGGGTACAGAAAAGTTTGATTAGCATTTACTTCTGTTCCCTTTGTTGCTCTGCAACCTAAGGGAGCTAATAGAGAAATTCTCATCTATTTCATCTTCAAACATTTCAGATTTTCTCTTTCTGAACTTCATGAACAATTTCATGAGCAACCCTTCATTCAAATCTCAAAGACAAAATAGTTTCTGCTGCCAGTGCTTGCTTCAAGTACAGTCCTTTGAAATCTTTGAAATCTTTCCAGGTGCTCATCTGAGAACCTGACCTTCAGATCAAAAGATTAAAGGAGAAAATAAAGCAGAGATGCTCTTTTCTCCCCTATTTTGTGGAAATAGCCAAGGCTAAAATGAGTGATCCTTCTTTTACTCCTTCTTTTTCTTTCTCATGTGCTCTTAATACTTCTCATGTTTTCTGTTTTTGTCTACATGGACTGATTTATGTACACAGGGTATCAGTTTCTCTTTGCCCAGAATGTATACAATATCAATGACGCAAACAGATCTTAAACGTGGTTGCAAATTTCACACTTCAGGGGTATAATGATTTTATCACCATTTTGACATTACATAGGTAACGATGTTTAAATACATGATCTTAGATGTCACAACCAGGTTTCAAGCCTGAGTTTAATTCTGAACAGACTGACTGCATATATAATTCAAATATTTAGAATTTTGGACTATTTACATGATAAACTGTTTTTAAATCATTATACCGTAAGCCTCTCCATATGAAATGGAAAGCACAGATGAAGTATTTCCTGAAAATCCAAATCATAAATACTTGCACGCACGTGAAAATATCTCAACAGTTTTATTTAATCATCTTTATCATCAGCCTCATTCTTTTCCATTTTATAGTGCATGGCTTTTCTGTGTGTGTGTGTGTATGAGTGTGTGTGTGTGTGTGTATGCATGTGTGTGTGTTTGTGTATAAATCTGTGTAGTAGCACTTGTGATAGTTAAAATTATTTCTGAGATTAAATGGGATTTAGAATCACCAAGAGGACAAGATGTTGAGGATGTTGCATGGGATTATGCAGATTAGGGTAACCTTTAGGAATAGTGTGAATTGTCGTCTAGATCAGATGAATGTAGGAATGAAAATACACCACAACTCTAAAGACAAACTAATAGAGAAAAGGTGAAGGATACTAGCATCCATTACTTTTTGTTCGTGATTGTGGATATAAAGTGACTAGTTGCCTCAAGCTGCTGCTCTAAAGGCTTCACAACTATGATGATCTATATCTGTGAACGAAAGTAAACCATAATTGGGTTGATTTTGTTCTTTTATTATGGCAATATGACAAGTAAATAATATGTGTTATTACTATTCTAGATTGATTACCAAAAAATAAAATGAAATTCAGGAAAACCAAAGATAAAACTCAGTGGTAAACAACACACACTGATCTTGCAGAGGGCCCACATTAAATTCGCAGTAACCGCACTTCAGGAATGGGGAGTGAGTGACAGACAAAATGACCTGTAACTATAGCTTTAGAAGGATCTGGCACCTCTGTCCTATATGACCACCTGAACTCATGTGTCCGTACTCACACAAAGACACACATTTGCATAGTTAGAAAGAAATATAACTAAATATTGACATACTAAACATTCTAATGCAAAATGACCAAACAGAATGTTACATTCACTTTTCATTCACATTCTAAATTACTAGTACTCCATAGCAAATATAAAATATTTATATTAAAATCTGTGGAGAGATATAACAGAAATGTGTATGTATGTGGAACTTCACAGTGTCAGTCTCACTTTTATAGACAAAGACTATATTATACATTTTTCATTCCTTAGTGTGCATTTATGTATGAGTCACCTTTTTGATTGCACTATTTAGAGTTTTAATGTAAGGTCAAGTATCAACCATTCCTGGCAGCTTTTCTTAAATCATTTTAATTGACTACAAAGTAATGTATTCCACATAAAGTTCAAGCCCACATTTTTATGACAACATGAGTTACAACTATGAAATAATCAAATTAGATATAAAGTGCATCCTTTAATCAAACTTGATGAAAAAGTCTCAAGGCAGAGCAATTTTCAGAGTTATTATATACCCAGAGAAAAAGAGACCTTTCCTATAAAGGTTAGTTGATATTTTTAAAGAATGCAGAGTTTTTTTTGAATTATCTGTGTATGTGTGTGTCTTTGCTGGGGTTTGTACACATGAACATAGGTGCCCACAGAGGCCAGAGGTAACTGAACTGGAGTTAGATGTAGTTATGAGGTTCTTAATTCGATATTGTGGTCTTCTTTAAGACCTTCAGAAACATCTCAAGAGTCTCACCCCAGGCCTTTCTTACAAATGGAATCATAGAGTCTACTCTCTTTACTTTTGATTCCCTAAATGTATTATAAAATATTTCAAAGTGCTCTTTGCACCAGTAGACCATAATTTTTAGTTTTGAATAGAGTTTCTGTGGAGTTCCCTGGTATGATTGTTTGCTATAATTGTATTTTATGTTTAAAATCTAAATTTATTCCAGGCTTCAGGTATTAAAGATACACCATAATTTAATTATTATCAAGTTGTTATGATAACAAATGGTCCTTTCTCTTGAATAAAATACCAAGGAGAGAAACTACCCTTTGAAGAGTGCAAAAACTGTTCCAATAACTGTTTTATATCTGATAACTACCTGTCACTGCTATCACATCTCTGGCTCCACCTCTTACTGCAGCATATGCACCGCCTTATTTTTCTAAAATCTTTCCCACCTCTCCATATTTATTCTTCATTTTACTAGTGCACACTTTCCCTGGAATCATAGGCCAAGACAGTACTTGTGTGTCTTCCACCTGTACTTGAGTTTTCTTGTGATTTTCTACAGAAAGAATTCCCAAAGATAAATTTAGATTGCATGGTTAAGAAGATAATTTATTCATACATTGAAAGAGTGGTTGCACTGATCATTCAAAAGGAAGATAAAGACGGACTAAAGTCCTAAAACAAGCATATATATATATATATATATATGTGTGTGTGTGTGTGTATATGTGTGTGTGTGTATATGTGTGTGTGTGTGTGTGTGTCATATATATATGTCATTAAGGTAGCTATGTATACAAGTAAGAAAGGATTAGTGAGATGCTAGCTCTCTATAAGGTTTTCTTCAAAACAATGATTCTGCTTTCAAGAAGAGAAAATCCACAACTTATGGGCATCATACTTGAATGATGTGCATATTATACTTGATTTACTTAAAAACATGTATTTGTAAAAACTACCGAGTTCCTCAGCAGCATGTCTGTAGCATGTTAACCACGACAATATTTTCAATGCCATACATATTGCCCAAATTTGTTTTTAAGTAATGATGAATAAGACACAAATTAATTTGATTTAATTGAAAAAAAAATTCAGATATGAGAGTACTGCTTCTCATTTGAGAAAATTCACAGATTGCAAAGAAATAGTCACAGCAAGGTAAATTATGTTTTGACCTAATCATGTACATCAGGAAATAGAGAGGAAGACAGAACCTTCAATAAAAAGAGAATCCAGTTAATGATAAAAGCTCCTTCCTAAATATCAGGATTTTTCAGTATTTGCATACATTAAATTACTAGATATAGACAACTTGAATTTATTCCTGAATTCTTTATCATAATGGAGAAAAGTCTCTACAAAGATGCATGAAACTGGTTTTCAGATACACATAATTGATACAGCATATGAATGAATTAAAGATGGAGGTGAAACATGAATGTGTATTCAGTGTGCTTCAGTTCTTTAACCACTAAAACTATAGCTCTGAATTAATCTTGCATAACACAGATAAAAGGAATAGTATGAGCTAGTGTGTGATTTCACTGACATATATTGCTAAATCTTACCACTGATTGTTAACTTTAACTTTCCATATTTCTAAATGGATCAATATCCCTTTCAAAATTCTTCAGTTATGCAATATATCCTAACCACATACTGCCCTGCTTCTATTCCTCCCAGTTTCCCTTTCTCATCCCCTCTCCCCTAGATCCACTGTTCCTCTGTTTCCCTTCAGAAAAGAACAGGCATCCCAGTGAAATCAACTAAACAAAGTATAGCAAGATACAGTAAGATTGCACACAAACCCTTATATTAAGGTATAAGGCATCCTAGTAGGGGGGAGAGGGTTCCAAGTTCCAAGTGAGTCAGATGCACCCACACTCTCACTGTTAGGAAGACTACAAAAACACCAAGCTAAACAACCACAACATGTATGCAGAATACCTAGCACAGATCCATGCAAATTCTATGATTGCTGCTTCAGGATATTTAAGGATCTATGAACCCTGGTTAGTTAATTTTGTGGGCCATGCTCTTGGTGTCCTTGACTCCTCTGACTCCCAAAATTCTTCCCCTCTGAGCAGTTTTTCAAGCTATGTCATATTTGTTTCCACCCTAGACCTCTGGACTGACATCCAGATTCCAGTTCCTGGTTACATATCTAGGCACTATCGAATGTGGGTTCCTTCTGATGTCATGGGATTCATCAGTCATCAGTTGACAACTCCCACAAGTGATGAGTCACTATAGTGTCCACCATGGCCTTGGAATATCTTCCAGGGAGGACAGGTT